GGGCTGTGACAAACTGTTTCGTCGGAGTTTCACCGACTCATCAGGAGGTTGAACCCTCAACAGTCTGCAGAATCCCCTCATTGATTACACTGTAAATGATAATTTACCTTAACCAAAATCAAAGTAGACTATCACTCACCCACACTAGATGAAAAACTCTACAGACTGTCGGTTCACACCCCATTATATATATATATATATATATATATATATATATATATATATATATATATATATATATATATATATAAGATGATGAGGATGTTCACAAGGATGACCAGTGTAGCATTCATCAAGAGTCTAGCACTAAGCATTTGATCAGAAACAGTCTTGACAGGTGACAGCAGGTTGTACGTCATAGCGCGGAATAGCTTATATCGAGGTGATAATAAAGATTGCAAATGAGGAAAGTTTGAATCCTTTAGAACAGGTAGCGTCGGTCTCTAATGGTTATATTAGATGATGTTTTCCGCGGCCAGGGCCCATGAAAGTATGATTCGGTAATGCTTTCATTAATTAGTTTTTTTTTTTTTTTTTAACGTTGAAATGATTTGATTTATTGTCCACCATCTTCTTTTTGTGGTCTGTGTTATTAAGCTATGTTGTCGTGAGCAAAAGGAATTAGTGATCCAAAAGGGATTTCATACTTAAGAGTGGTGCGACCGCGAGGTTCGGAGCCCTTTCTTGCTTGCGAGTGGCTTTGCCTTATTGCGAGCAGGGCTGACAGCCAGACGATATTGCCGGTGCCAATTTCGAAAATGACTAGTTGGCAGCCTTACTCGAGAAAGAGCGAGATCCGAGTTGGGTTGCATTGCAAGCCTGAAGAGCCAGGTAAAAATCAGATGCAAATGCCTTTCATGCTTGCAAGTGACCCCTTTCTTTTTTTCACTTTTTTTATTAAAAAAAAAGGCGGACAACCCTTTGCTATTGGCAGCTATGAGATAAATGACAAAAAATACCAAAATTATAAGTCACGAGGTTGACAACCTTACTTGCTTAAGGGTAGAGCTGCCAACCATGAGACAACAGTAATTTGAGATGGAGAGGAAGCGAAAATTCCAAATGTTGCATATGAGCAAAACATCATAAACAAAATCTGCAGGTTAGTATGAGACGTAAGTGGAAACAATCAACGGAGCTTAAGCAGATCACGTATGAAGATGCATTTGCTGGTGAATGGTCGAGGCGAGAGATTTTGACTTATGCCTTTTTTTTTTTTTTTTTTTTTGATATAATGCAGAATTTCGTAAAAGTAGAGAAAAATCCATATAGACAAAAGGTTTCGGAATACAGAACAAATGTTGCTGAAGATCCAAATTTACAGATTACGAGCATTTAATTCCAAAATTATGAAATGCAATCATTAAGTCCATATCGGAAGATTAAGTCCATCTCGGATTGGTCCTTGTCAGGGAAGGCAGAGATGGTGAGAGGATTTGGGAAGTAGAAGGAAGATGGTAAAGAGGTGAAGAAGAAAGAGGATGAAGAGCAAGGAGAAGATTAGTAGATCGAAATTTTTACAGAGATTTGTCCTGGGCCTCTGCCTGGGAGTTTTAGGGGGTTGCGGGGAGGATGATTGCAGAGGAATGCTTGATGTGGGGGGAGGAGTTCGAGGAGGCTTGGTTACCAAGAAGAGGGGATGAAGAGGAAGAGTATGAGAAGGGGAGTGGGGGTCGGAGAAAGAAGATTTTTCCTGCTCAGTCTTTGCTGACTTCTTCTTCCTGGGCGGTGTCTGCGGCTGTGGCTGAGCTGCCCTCTTCGGCATCTCTCTCAAAGCTCACACACTTCTTTCTACCCTTAGATGAGTAGAAAAAAAAACGAGGATAGTTAGGGATGAAAGGGGGGGAAGAGTCTAGAGGAAGGACTAGATATCGGAGGTAGTCAGGGAGGTTGTCGAAGGCCTTCTTCCTAATGTATCTGAACCATGGCCTGGGTCCCCAATCCGTGAGTTCCTCGAGCTGGAGGGAGATGATTGCTCCTTCCGCGAGCGTGGTGAAGAAGTCCTTGAAATGAGCCGCAATTGGATAAGCCAGAAAGGGTGACGAAGCAATCCCGGGAAGGTTCTCTGCCAAGGTGAGTAGTCCCTTCTTAACCCAGTAGAAAAACACTTTGTCATTCATACAGGCCAGACACATGCCAAGGCAGTAAAAGTTGACCGCTAGATTGCTCGCACAGGGTAATTGGAACTCTGCCAAATCCAAACGGGCCCGGAGTAGTTCCCTGGGCGAGAGAGAGAGGAGAGGCCTTGCGTCGACGGAAGTAAGTTTGAATAGAGTTGCCGAAAACAGTGAGTAAAAAAGCAGCTCCAACGCACGTCGTGCTTGATTACACAGAATGATTTGTATCCGTGCTGAAACGAAACTTGGCTGCGTTGACACAGAAACGCTCGATATCTTCTGCGTTGAGTAGCGCTCCGTACTTCGATATTACCCTTGATTCCTGAAACTTGATGAAGGATGAGGGGATGTAAAGAGGGAGAGCAAACAGATGTAGAAGAAGTAATGAGGCAGTTGGAGGGTCGATCACAAAGATTCGCTCAAGAACGGATCCGTCGCTATTGGAGGAGAGGGTTTGGGGGTGGGAAACTCGATGAGAGAGGCGAAGAGTTGTAGAAGTTTGTGCAGTGGTGCTGGTGAGGAGGACTGAAGCATGAGGTTAGTAGGGAAGTCGCGTTTGAGGAAAAGATCGAAGAGTGGTGCTTGTTGAGGTGGAGGAGAGTGGTAGGAGGAAGAGGGGGATGATTGGTCAGCGAGGGGGGAAGGGGACTGCCGCAGTTGAGAGGGAGAAGATGGTAACAGGCGACTTGGAGGAGACAGGGCCGCGACGCAGAGTGACGGACTGCCCGCAGTACCTCTGCCGTACATGGTGGAGATTAGAATGGCTTACCGATGGTTTAAGTAGTTGCGGGGCTGAATCTCCTAGTAGCAAAACAACGCAGACCTGGTTTAGCCGCAAGGCGAGTATGTAAACGAAAAATTGGTAAAGATACAGATGGGGTTACCCAGTTCGCGGTACTAAGCCGAAAATGAGCAGATGCAAGGCCGGAAAAAGGTGACTAAGGCCGAAAAAATGGTGTAGATGTAGTTACCTTGGAAGGACTAAACTAGGTGCATGTGCCGAAAGAAGTCTGAGGCCGAAAAGACAGTACAGGTGCATAAAAAGAAAGGTAGGCCCTGGAGGACAGGAGGCCGCTTCGCCAAAAAAGCGAGATAAACGACCTGTCCTCAAGAGTGATTTGACTGACTTGTGATGTGACTTGCAGATTTGCCTACGCAATGGGCACGGCGGCTGGCGGAAGGAGTGCGGAAAGTGCGCAGCGAGAGTTGACGCCTTCTGCTGCGACCGG